TAGAGGGCGTCCGAGATATTATACCTACAGCCTGGAACATTATTATTTGATGAATTATGTCATCAACTGGTAAATTTATGGTAATAGATATTTGTCATCGTCAATTTAATCAGCCATGTTAGCCTAATATCGGTGGGTACTTAAAGCGTTTTCCAAGGGTTTTGAGCGTTTTTCGACGTGCAGGTTTCATCACGCAAGAAATATTACTACTAACATTTACAAATGTATATCATTTAGAAATTAAAGTTACAGGGTTTCGAGCTGTCTACCTCTCGACTGACAAGCAATCGTTCAGTGCAGGGTTGTCGTGAATATCAGCATCTGCATCCGCGGATAAACTGATATTCGAGTCGTGTCATGACCTAAAAGGTACGCTGGAATAATTTACAAAACTTCCAGAAACAGATTGTAAGCCGAAAAAGCAACTCCGCTGTTGTTTTTATAACTTTGATAAAATTCCACGATGATTAACCTAGGCAGATTAATTGTTTTCATGAAATAATATTTTACGTATTACAATACCAAAGACAATATAAAACTTTTTCATGTATATGTAGATTGAGTAAGGATGTACATTTTTGCGGTTTTTTTAATATATAAAATCAGCATCCTCATCCATCACCTTCCGCTGATGTGTAAAAAACCTGCAGCAACAACCCTGGTTCAGTGTTGCCAGATGGTTACATTTCTTATATTTTTGATAACTTTCGGCCCTCTTACGTAATATGTAAGTAATATTTGTTTTTATGACAATTTTCGTAACGTTCTGAGAATTATGCCTCAGTGGTCGAAAGGTTACCATGCCGGACTACCACGCAGAGGTACCAGGTTCGATTCCCGGGCCGGGAGAAATATTTGTATGGCCTACATTTACTTCTCTCGTGAGTTTGGGTGTAATCTGTAGTTGTCTATGTGTGTGTCCATGGCACATTATGGTGAGTGTGTGCGATATTATTATTATAATTTTGACACTTTTTAAATTCAACTGGGTTTGTTATTGTAAATTCCAACTCGGCCTTGTAATAAGTAAGTCAAGCAATCCCCGTTCCTGTCGCGCGCCGAGTCAAGTATAGTGTTTTTCTCAAACAATGTGAGGAAATAATACAATACTAAAGAGACGAAGATCAAAAAATATATAGATTAAAATGTGAGGACAATTGCTAAAAGAAAATGTTTTTCCAAGCACGGTTAATAGTAGTTTGCTGAACTTCTGATGACGTGGTTGTATGTGTATTCATTACTACATCTTACAAGCCAGTGTCGCCTTTTGGCATTCTGTAGGATACCTACTAAAGTAAGTACCCGGGTCTTAAACATATTAAGATTTCAAATACTTTATCAGTAAAATAAATCACAATTTTTCCGAGGTAACGAGGTATCATTCTAAAAACAAAAACCGCATTTAAAAATAAATTATTGGCTATAAAATCTTTTTAGGGATAAAAAAGTGCGGGTAATGGGTTGTGTGTGATAAATCGAAATTGAATATTCGCATTAATGTTAGTTTTATTGTTGATTTAATTATTTTGACTGTGGCAGCTTATTGCGGTGTAATGATTGATGAACACTTCATTTTTATTTTGCACATTTTAGGACAAGTGTAGACAAGTTTTACAACAGTGTAGAAAGAGAGCGTTATGGTATGAACGATAATGTAGTGACTAGGACATATAGGAGGATGCTTCGATGGCTTGGTCACGTGGAAAGAATGAATGTTGATAAATAGACAATAGAAATAGGCGTGGCGAGAGGTAGACCGTATATATCTCGATCAGATTGTGAATGTCCTTAAAAATTGCTGAGTTTAATGCGGGCATGTATGAAGAGACTGATGAGAGTGAAGGAGGCGAAGGAGCTTTGTCCGAATTATAGCAGATGCAGGTCCCCAGTGGGAGACAGGCGTGACGTTATGTATGTATGTACATTTTAGGAAAAATTTACGTATTAATTATGTATCAATTTTAAAGGGTATGGTGAGGGTGGAATTACAGACACATGGGATATGTCAGGGTGAAGGGTACAGTGATAGCGCCCCTCTGGTGTTCGCGATTTAAAGTTCTGAGTCCAGTGCCACTCACTGTATCTTGAATTTGTTCGTCTTGTCACATGAAATCATAAAAAATATTTTAGTCGGGAATAAGCCACGTTACGAATTTTTGGTGTTACAAAGGCCATATTTGCAAAATAACAACTTTTCAGAAGAGAGCAGGTAAATAAAGATTCTACGAAGAAAATTAATCAATAAATGTTTTATGCTTGAGTAGATCAGTGTGAATAAACATTTAAAATGTGGGCCTTAAAATTCACTTTGGTATGACTTCCTTTTACACCATTAGCCTACGTAAAACAAATTTCAATCAAAAATCTAGAATTCCGTTACATCTTTCTGTTATATGTGTAAGAAGGCTCTCAGAACCAAGAGGTCAGCTAGGGGATCAGGTATCGCGCCATGAACTGTATGTCTATATCCGTGGTAAAAAAAATAAAAAATAATAGGCCGATATTAACATATTGTAGAACGGAGAAGCTATATGTAGCCATTTTTTCTTGTTCTTTTTTTTTAATTTCACAAATGGCTCGGTCTAATCACGAATACTAGCTTATAATAAAGATACGTACATAGTTATAATCTGAACTAACTCGATCCAATCGTAATATTGAATCTATTAAATTCCTAATGATGAGAAACTGAACAGCTGTAGGTTCTCAAATCTTTACAATCATTATGTTACAACCATACTTTGTGTTAATTGTTTATATTAAAAAAAAAACACGATTTTTGTGACTTACATTTCGTGTAGTAACCGTTTGACCATGAACTTTAACTGGTTGTTACTTGACAGTGAATCGTTTTATCAGTTATAATAATTTATAAAACTCATTATTTGTACATATTACTGAGATTGGAATAGGTGGAGTATATCACAAAGTTCAAACGATACACATAAAGGGTTGCGTACCTTCAATGACGCGTAGGTTTCATCAAATCATAGATTTATCATCATCATCATAGATTTCGAGAAACTCAAAGGAGCGAGCGCGGATTCGAACCCACGGTCTCTGCTTGGGAGGTAGGTCTAACCAGGCTACCATATCAAACTAACCTTGCACTATGAGTACTAGAGCAACGGTATTCGCCCAGGCTAGAACCTGTTAATTTTTTTTTATTATTATACAAAACGATGGGACGCGCAAGTCCCATGTGCCTGTAATTTCACCAGCATCCTACCTTTCAAAACCGGAACGCAGTAATGCTCACTTTATTGCTTTTTAGCGGCAGAAATATGTAAGGTGACAGTACTTCCCTGGACGCACTCTTTGACAACGAGCTGTACTGCTAATTCATTTCACATACATATTGATATCACCGGGAATGGAACCCGGGACCTCTTATTAGTCCAGCACCGTAATGCACACCGTTGGGCCACTGAAGTCGTCTGAATAAAAAAGAAATATCGAATGAATCGGAACTCTGGATTTTAAACCTAACGAAAAATCGATAAATAAATCGATGAATCTCGCGTATCCAGTGTTCACAACCTTTAGGAACGTGTAAAGTCCCCAAATCGCTTTCTGCTGGTATAGCAGACTATAGCCTAAATCCATAATCAATAAATCAAACCATTTATTTGGTAGAAATATGCTGGTCAAATGGTCAAGATAACAAATAGTAACGTAGGCACAGACATGTTTTGGCATAAATTGAGACAAGCATGCAAAAAATTGGCCTCTTCTAGAGCAGTCTCGTGCCCAGCAGTGGACGTACATGTAACGGGAAAAATTATAATATTAACGCACACACTCATAACCCTGGAGTGTGCCATGGAGATACTTAGACAACCACAAATTACACGGAAACTCATAAGAGAAATAAATGTACGCCATACAAATATTTCTCCCGGCCCGGGAATCGAATCCGGGACTTCTACGTGGCAGTTCAGCATGGTAACCGTTCGGCCACGGAGGCAGTTTATCGTCAGTATAAAGATAAAACAAATATATTCTGTATAAAAACTTAACCTAAATAAATGTCAATGTCATGCTGTCATCTCAGCCCGTTAAGAAAGAAAATACGTTCACTCCCACTGCTAGGTTTAGGCCTCTCTTTTGAACGCCAGCTCAGTCGGTCCTGTGCGAGTCTCATCCACATTCTTCCGGCCACTCCGACGATATCGCCCGACCCGAGCAGGTGGTCTACAATCAATGTAATATAAAAAAAATATTTGACCAATAGGATACATTAGATTAGGTGTGGAGGTTAGACTAAATCGCGATGTCCGAATAAGTTCGAAGCCTCAAAAATAATATATTTATCAAAAAATGCAATAGCAAACTAACTTTAGATAAAATTGAAAATTTAATAATAGGCATTATATACACCTAGAATTTGATACATTATGTATGCCATTCTGTCACTTGTTCCAAATGTAAATCTTAAAATCGACAACTTCACTGGCCATAACAAGCGTAACATCTTTTGAAATAGGAAGAAAGGAATGCTTCCCCTCTAAAAACACCTGTGATGTAAAAAAGCGTCCTTGCGGCCCATTGTGCGTTTCGCGCCAAGTGGATACTGCCAAAATCCACTGCGAATCGAAGCGCGGGAAACGGTGTTCACATCTTAGAAATTTCCTGCTCATTTAGCAGGAATAAAAGCAGCGTCAAAATTGGAACATCGTTTTTGACTTATTTATTAGTTCTAATTTTCGTTGTACATTTATGCGACTGTCAAAAACATGAACACGAAATTTTATACTACTTAGATACGATGATGGGATTTATAATGAAGGTTTTTGTAATGTAAATAAAAACTATAGTGGATAATAACTAAATAAGAGCAATAAATCATATATAAATATTTGTCATAATTAACGATTTTATCTTAGTCACAAATCAACAGTGTAGTATTCAAAATGTGCAGGATTAGTTTTCGAAAATTGATTTGAATTGAGCAAATCAAGTTGGTAACATTGTCCAGCACGACGAGCGTCAGTCGTGCCGGGCGAGAGAGCGCGCGCGCACGCCGCACGACCACGCGTTTTTAAGGTTAGAACTGTCGGGCGGTTGCCAGGTGTTATCATCCCACTCTTTCCTACACACCCATGTTATATCCTCTCTCTCAGCACGACAGCTGTTTTCTCTCAAGAGATTATTAGTCAGATGTTTCTTGCGAACCCATCTGCACTCACCTGACGCGAATGGCTGCTGGAGGTCATACATCAAAACAGAGAAGATCCGAAATTTCCGCATCCATGGCTATGAGAAATGTCTCCAACACCCCGAGAAGACGTCGCGGAAGTTGCAAGTGCCTTTTTGGAGCTCCCGACAGAGACGAAACAAGGAGATTGATGGCAGAACAATATAGCAGGGATAGAAAACGGTTTATAAGAAGATTTAACTTCGATATTGATACGGAATGTGCGTATAAATCTGCGAAGATGGACTCTCCGGTTAAGTTTTTAGAGGAGAACAAAGAAAACTCGGAAAGCCCTGTTCTAAGGTCGTCAACGGAAACTTTAGCCTGTGTTGGGAATACTGACTTGAAAATGCTAGGGTCTCCATCAAGAAGGAGTAATAGCAGCGCGGCAAGTTCCCCCCGCACGCCGCGTACGCCCCGCACCCCTCGTGCGGCCAGGACCCCTAGAACTCCCAGGACTCCTGCTTCAAGGAGACAGCTACAAATGACAGGTTAGTACCTAATTCCATACCACACTTTGCCCTATAAAAAAGTCTAAATCCCGTTTGGTTCAGTTGGCCGTGCACCTGCCTTCGACCGGAAGGTCTAAAGTTCGGAGTTGGCTTGAAATTTTTTTCATGTTTTTTAACAGCAAATATTCCGTATGTATAGTCTAATATTACGCTCAAATCCCAAAACTGGGGTACGGGTCTCCTCTTAAAGATTCCAAAATGTTGAAGAGTTTTAGTACGCGGGGAAAACGATAATGTTTAATAAGTTTGTTTGTATCATTTATGAAAACAGGATAGAATTAATTTTTTTATTTTTGTTTTTTATTACCAAGTGACGGGACGAACCAATCGTGCGCGTTGTGTTAAGCGACACGCCTGTTCACAGCACTTGCAGTGCCACTCCGAACTTTAAATCGTAAAGATCTGAGGGACACTGCCACTGCGCCTGTCACGTTGAGACATCATTTGACAAGCCCCATGTGCCTTAAGTTTCACCAGAACCCATAACCTTTGAAAACCGGAACGCATTTATGTAATACTCACATTACTGCTTGACGGCAGAAATAGGAAAAGTGGCAATGCTTCCCTGGACGAATTCTTTCACAGGGAGCTGCTACTAATTGTCATAAATTGTTTCTAATAGATTTTTGTTTCGGATATACACACTTCGGATATCAACACTGTCTAGGGATATTTTAGTTTTTCATGGATTGCAAAGATACTACAAAAAAGTTCTTGAAACGTTCGTATATCAAAATGCGCAGTATTTTATAATCTGACAGAAAATTTAATAAAATATCTTTTTATATTTATTTTTAATGACTTTTATGGTAAAAATAGAAAAAGTTAACTTTGTACTAAAATAAGAACTTCTGTTTTTGGTTATTAAAGAGAAAAACAAAATTAAATGAAACAACACAAAATAAATATTTAATAATCTGTAAAAGCACCTCGGATGTTTATAACGCATCTGCAACGATTGTGCATACTCAAAATGAGATTATCAATATCTCCTTGTGGGATAAGGCCCCAGGTTCGACGAAGATGCATAAAAAGTTGATTTTCTGTCACCAGATTTTCGGGAAAATTTCGTAAAGCCCTTCGTTGAAGCACGTCACACGCGTGCTCAATCGGATTTAAATCCGGGACTGAGCAGGCCAGTCCAGTGTCTTACTATTCGAGCTGCATGAAAACGAACATTATCATGCATAAGCATAAAGTCCTGACCCATTTGCAACCGATGTGGTTGGACTACAGGTTCCAGCACCTCATTACGATATTTTGCGGCAGTTAAAATGTCCTGCACGCAAATGAGGTCAGTTCTCCCTCCTAGGCGTATTCCTGCCCATACCATAATTGTTCCACCTTGATTGAATGATTCCTCACAGTTTGGTCGTTCACTAGGAGCTGGTGTTCCGATTGAAGCTTCAAAACCAATTGCCTAGCCGTAACGTTAGGTTGTCTCTTTGCTGTAACTTGTAAAAATCGGTCGTGTCTTGCGGTAGTCACCCGACTATTCCCTGTGTGCCGCTTAACTACATCGCCAGTGTCTCGGTAGCGAGACCATAATCTTGATATGACGCTTTGACCGGTGCCAATGACATCAGCAACATTGCTCTGGATCGCGCCGGCTTCTAGCATGCCTACGGCTCTCAACATCTCTTCTTTAGTTAAATGTCGGCGTTCCATAGTATAGAAACAACCACCAGTAATAACGCAGTTAATAAAATTGTAAAAAGAAAATCCGTTCAAAAACAATTTAATCTTTAAGACACACAGAGGCAAACAAACTATCGTAACAATGTTAACGTCGTTCTTTTGTTTTAAATTTGAATTTAGAATACAACTTTTAAAGTTATTGTAATAAACGTGAAATATCCCTAGACAGTGTTGATGTGTGTATTAGAATTAATGTGGTAGTTAGTAAAATTTTTCTAATTTCGGGACCGGCTAAGGCGTCTAAACCATACTGCCAGGTCTTAGATTAACAGACTTAAATAGTCTTTTTTTTCTTTATGACTATGGTCATTGAGAAATTTAGTCGAAAAAAAATTTACTAGGGGGCCAGGAAATTATAACAAACCAGGGAGTCTACTCCCGTTCTCGACCACAGTAATACTCGACCGAATAAAAAAACAATGTCAAGTATGAAGCTGCATTCGCATCACGCGTCTTTTAATTGTGGTCGAGTATTAATTATTTGACAGTAATTGTTTCAGAACAGTAGTTCGGATTAATTTAACATTATTTTGCCAGTTTGATTTTGTGAGTTTGACTTACTTAGTAGTTTAAAAACCTGATTTGGTCATTGAATGGTTCGCTGTAAGTTCGCCCGAATCGCAAAATGATTGGATCGTGCATTGTGAACGTAGTAAATTGACGGGACAGCAAATCCAAACAACCGGTTGCGCAATTTTGCAAAATTCCAGGAACTTTCGCAATAATGTTAACTGTTATAATCGCAGTACTTGGTACAAAAAGCAGAAGGAAACACTACGTGAGTTTGATCTTAATCACGATTAAAAACACCCCTATGAAAATAATAATAATAAATATTTATTTCTTTTGTCACAAAGCTGTGTGTGTGTATTACAGAACACATAAAATTATAAGCAAGGTGTGTCTGTGCGTGTGTGTGTGTGTGTGTGTGTGTGTGTGTGTGTGTGTGTGTGAGAGAGAGAGAGAGAGAGTGAAAATGTGTGTGCGTGTCACCACACTTAACTTTTTTTTCCTTAACTACCTCTTTTTTACCATGCCGGACTGCCACGCAGAGGTCCCAGATTCAATTCCCGGGCGGGAGAAATGTTTGTGTGGCTTACATTTATTTCACTCGTGAGTTTGGGTGTAATTTGTGGTTGTCTATGTGTGTGTCCATGGCACCCGCGACACAGGGTTTCCCTAGTGCGGGGCTTTGTTGAATGTGTGCGTTATTTATTTCCACATAAATAATAACTAATTAAAAATCTGAACATACACAAGTTCATCGGGCTTTCGGATGTATAACTATGTATCTGAGAAAAAAGTTGCGGGTCTGCTTCATAGGCGAAGTTTATAATTTGCGCAATCATACGCAACGCGTTTGTGATTGTAATTATATGGTAGCTGATTCAAGTAGCGTTTATTTACGTTTTTATTACATAAAATAGTAATTGTATTTTTACACTTGATAAACTTGTTTTGTTAGATTGCCTAGCCTGGTGAACGTTACCTGCTCCTTGCGTTTAGTGTAGGAGTTTTTGCCGAAAATGTTAATTAGCAATAATAAAGATCGCGTTTTGTACCGTTTTGTCATTTCTTAGTCGGTTTTATTGCTGTATGTTACAAGTTTTGTATCAACATCATTTATTCTTCTTATTCTGGGTATTATTGTTATTATTTCTTAATTATATGCCAACAACAAATCATATCTGAAAACAAAACAATAATAAAATACCTACAGAAATAAAAACACATAGAGGAACCGCATCAGGCACAAAAGAAATAACAAATTTTATACTATGAGTACATACCTATTTAATTTTTAATATACTTCGAATTTTAAAATTCAATATGCTTGCATCGCCAATGTTATTATAACAAACTTATCGTTACTGTTGACGACAAGCAAACATGCACCCTATTTAAAGACCACAAAGGTCTAAATCATCATTTAATCCTTTTTTTAATGGTAATCAATAAGTTGTCAAGAAAGCACAATAAAAACTTCTTAGTTCAAAATTACGTAATAGGATATTGACCGGAATTTAATCGTGAGATGAATTTTATAAGTTTTTTATTGTAATAAGACTTGTGATAGAATTTGAACGCTAAGAACTAGAAAGGACGTAAGTACCTTCTGAAGAAAGAAGTAAGAGTTTATGACAAAGACTGACAAGTTACATTTGACCCTGAAATGGCGGAAATTAGCTCTTTCAGCTATATATAAAGCGAAAGATAATCCAAATATGCGTTTAATTTTATTGGGAAAGATTTTTTTTTATGTTGACTTCTTAAATATTTTTAAATAGTGACGTGAACTAATCGAGCGCCTGGCGGTTTCTTTTTATTTGTTTTTCTTATTTATGCTACCTATAGTCACGGGACGAACAAGTCTTGCGCGTGATGGTAAGCTACACGCCTGTCCATAACAGTTGTAGTGCCACTCGGAGCTTTAAATTGCAAAGATCTGAGGGACACTGCCACTGTGCTCGTCACCCTGAGACATAAGTTGAAAAGTCCCATGTGCCTGTAATTTCACCAGCACCCTTACCCTTCAAAACCGGAACACAGTAAAGCTGACATTACTGCTTAGCGGCAGAAATAGGTAAGGTGGCAGTACTACCCTGGACGAACTCTTTCACAAGGAGCTCTACATCTACTAACTGATGATAAGCTACACGTCTATCCGTAAGAATAAGGCTAACATAATAGGGTGCGACTTGCGCGAGAACGACATACATACGCATAGAAGCGTGAGATTTAAGCGTTGCTATGCGAAAATAGAAGTATCTCGCGCATTATGTCGTTCTCGCGACATCGCGGTCTGTTGTGCTAGCATTACAGATGCAGTGCTACTCAACAGTTTTAAATATAAAATAAAGGGCATTGCCACTGCGCCCGTCACCTTGAGACATAAGTTGACTAGTACCATTTGCCTGTAATATTACCAACACCCATAACCTTGGAACGGTAACCTATCACAAACTTGAATTTATTTTTTCCGAAATAATGTTTGTTCGAATTTTCATTACCCCAAAAACCGAACTATAACGAAACCGTTGTTCTTTCAGGATATGTCGGATGTTTATCGCAAAGACACGATTAGGTTAGGTTATGTTAGATATAAAAGAAAAAATATTTTCCTCTCAAAATTACTTTCGAGATTATGAAAATTCGAGCAAACGTTGCTTCTGGAAAATGTCATTTCGGATTTCTGACAGATAACCCCTTGGAACGCAGCAAAGCTCACATTCGTTCTGCTTGGCGGCAGAAATAGTTAAGGTGGTAGTATTTTTCTAGAC